TGAAGGAGGTGCCCTCTAGTACCCAGAAGCTCAAGACATTTTACTTTCCAGGACAGGAACCCTAGTTGTTGGCATGCAGTGGGTGGTACTGCCTTTCTGTCTTGCTTGTAGTGATTCCAGGTGGGCACTTTGCTTCCCCCTTTGTGATAAGCACAGAAGTCTCTGCTGGATTTGCTGTGGGCAGGGCTGCCTTCTGCCTGGCCTGCAGCAGTGGTGGGGGCTGTAGGGTTAATGGGGTGGGGGAGGCTGGTGTGTGTGTCTGCCCAGGCCCATTGTGGGATCTAGCACCCCCACAGGAGGATGGAGTTCCCAGGGCTGTCTCTGCAGGCAGTTCCCTCGCTGGACTGAAAGAGTCCAAGAAATCTGAGAGAGTCTCCCTCTGCCTACCCACCAGCAAAATCTGACATCACTGCTGGGCCAGGTGGGCCATCAGCTGGTCTCATGCATTGGGAGAAGCCTCAGTGCTGGGCTGGTGGAGTTGCTGTCGGGCCAGCTGCCCTCTGCCTGGCCTGCAGCAATGGCGGGGGCTGCAAGCGGTCTGGAAGAAGAAGCCCCCATGGCTGACGTCCACAGGTACTGCATAGCCTGGGCCAAATGGGGCTGAGAAAGCTGGGCCTCCCTGTGCCTACCCAGCAGCAAAGTCTGACGCCACTTCCAGGCCAAGTGGGATGTCTGTAGGCTGTGCACTTCAGGGAGGACCCTCGAGGGTATGGAGCATCTGGGGTTCCCAAGAGTTCCTGAACTGTTGGGCTGAGGGTGGGTTGTGGAGGTATCATCTACCTACCCTTTCTGCTGGGCAGAGAGCTCTATCTAACCTTCACCTCTCTGGTGCCCCTCAGACTTTGGGGAAGTCTTTTAAACTTCCCTCTTTGCTTTTATATTGGAGGGCCAGTAGAGCATGCCTGTTCTCCTCAAGCAGCTGGAATCTCAGCCTCCCAGGTGTTCCACTGTCTTTGTTGTTCAGCCCCATGTGGGCTTGTGCTCCTGGAGAAGATCTCCAGGGACAGGTGTTCAGTGAAACTGCTCTCCTACCACATTTCTCTTCCTCCTGCATATGGGCTGGGGTCGCGGGGAAAGGGCTTGAGTCCCAACAGATGTCAGTTTTGCCACTTAACCGTTTTCTGTGAGGTCTTCTTCCCCAGATGTAGGTAGTCAGTTCTGCAGTCTTCAGGTCATTTTCAGATTTAGTTGTATTTGCTGTATTTTCATGTTTTTTGTGTTTGGGGGAGGAGGTTTCACCTTGCTTTCCTACTCCACCATCTTTTTTCCCAGAGGCCTCTGATAGGCACAATATTAACTGCTGTGAAAACAAAGAAATTCTCACATTGAAGACTCCATTGTTTGCTAAGAAATTAGAGTGACCCTCTATTGCTGTGAGTTTTGTGATTTCAAGAATGCAACAATGAAAACACTAAGGGCCATGGACTTCATAACAAATTCTTTGAGTGACCCTTCAGGAGATACAGCAGACTGGGAGCATATAAAGAGCAGCCGATGTTGCACCCAGGCAAGATGGTATGTTGCCAAGGATGCCAGATTGCCCTAAAAATACAGTGACCTAATTAATGCAGAAACAACATGTCCTGTGTGTTCTCAACATGCCCAAGACAACTGCCTAGGTGTCTGGGCCCATCCACTGGAACTCCCAACCAGTGAGGTTTGGCAAATTTATTATACTCTCCCCTCTAAACATGCCTTGGTTTGTGTGGAGGCTGCATCTAGCATGAAGGTTTCCGCAGTCACTGTGCAAACCAGGCTGCCACAGTCAGGGAATTAGAGAAACAGACTATCATGCATAGGTGCCCTCATTTACTGGACAGTTATTGGAAGTCACATTCCAAAGTCATGATACACAAGAGTAGGCAAAAAAACATAACATTAACTGGAGGTTCTAATTCCTCTATAACCTGTAAGCATGAAAGTTGATGACTAATAAAATATTAAACAGACATCAATTATTAATTGGTGAAACCACCTTGGCCAGGTGAACTGAAGTACTGTCCCAGACTTTAATTCACTGGAAATATCAACTAGTGGGACCTGTTGCCCCATATGCCAGACCAGGGACCTCAGTATAGGCACCTTACACCATGGAAGTATAAAAGTCTCAGGAAACAGTCATTGCCCCCTTTCAAAATGAATCAACGTGCTCTGCAGCTGAGAACACCAAGTGCCATTATGCCTAGGAAAAGCATTATCTACTGGAATTTGCAATGTCATATCTTCCATGATGGATAAGTTCACACCCCTGGGGGAGGAGGAACTACTCAGTCTCCACTGGGAGCCCACTGTCCTGCTGCAAGCTGGATGTATTGAAAGCAGCATACCTGAATGGAACAGGCACCACTGAAAGAGGGGAGAAGGTGGGGGTCCTGGTCTAGCCTATCCCTCCCCTAGTCCATCTCCTCACACCTGGCAGTGCTGCCTCCCTGGCCAACATGTACAGGATGCACACCAGGTCAGGTTCCTAAAGCTGCCAACCTCTTGTCCTCAAGGCCACATGGGCATGTTCTGTTTTCCACTGGAATGATCTTTGGCTGCCCTCTTTGTCTCCTCCATCTGCCTGGAGGACCTTGCAATGCACACAGAGCCCTTACTACATTCACCCAAAGCCTTAAATGATAGCATCTAAGCCTGTGCCTACTGAACACTGAAATATTTCTAATGAAAGCTGCTGTCCTCCAGAATAGGACGGACTTGAGCATTATTACTGCTTTGCAAGGAGACACCTGAGCCATTATCCAAACAGGATGCTACGTGATTATACCAGGTGAGCCTGCTAATGTGTCATTATAACGTCACATGAGGACACAAGTACACACCCTGAGTGATCCACTCCCCCAGCCTAGGGGATTTGAACAGTGGATGGGATCAGGGCTCTTGGTGAAAACAGTTGCCACCAATTTTGGAGATCATTGTCCTAATCTGTGTTTTCTCTTACATGTACCTGTATTGTTACTGTGGCATTTGCCTCCAGTACAGCCAGACATCAGCCAAGGGAACCGTCTCTGTCCTAGTGAAACAAACCCCTTGCATCCACATAGGGCACACTATATAAGAGGGGTCGTATGAGACCTAAGAGCCAGTAACTAGGGTGCCATGTCTGGGAAGGTGATCAAAAAGATTGGCTGCCAATTGACCCATGAGCTGGACCCCAGCAGTCAGAGCCCCTCACTCCCTTCCCTGTCCCTGGAATGTGCCTTCCGCATGCCTGCCTTGCTCCCAGAGGGTCCCCCAAGGACACAGCCTTGAGATACTGATGTGACGTTGAGACCAACTGGGCGGTATATGTGACTGAACCCAGCTAAGGCTCCTTTATAAAGTTTTAAGATTAGATGGGCAGGTATAGAGATCTATTTGCCTTAAGGCCACCCAAAAGAAGCCTTGCATTTATAGGGCCCAGGGCAGGCTGCCCCAAGGTGGGCCACTGAGACATGTGAGCTGAAAACAATCAAGGCCCAGAAGACTCAGAATGAACTCTGACCTCCTTCCCACCAACTGAGTGAAAAGAATCTAGGCTGAGAACTGCTCCAGGAGGAGAGCTCTCACCGTAGATAATTAGAGTGTGAACGAGGAGTGGTGGACAGGGAGGGGTTTGGCAAAGTCTCCTAACGTTCCTCTCTGTGTTCCACTGTTTCTGTGTGGCTCCTCAAACATGTGTTTATCTGACATTTACTCTGTCATATTCCTGGGAATTGCTTCCCTTTTCCTTTGAAATCTGGGACTCCTACCCTCTTCTCCTCAGTTCAAGATGACATATATGCCTCATTATCCCTGACTGTCTTGAATCTCATGTCTGTGCGGATTCCACAGATGTATGGAATTTCATTTTCTCCTGTCAATCTGTCTCATGTCAATTTGATTCTTATATCAACCAGATGAATCTTGAAGGATAGAGGAAAATTTTTATCTCCCCAACAGTGCATCATAAGCCTAAAGATAACAAGAATTGTACATATATGCTGTCCTCTAGTTCATCCATATAACCAGAAAATAATTTAAGTAATTATATTATGCATCTAAAACAATGTGTAATATCTACAACAACAATGTCTCTGGACTAGGAAGTTCCTGTAGGTGCAAGCATGTATGTGAACTTGGATATTTTAAATGATGGGATAGTCAAGGAAAAGTTCTAGAATTATTAACTTTATAAAAGGCTGCTGTTGCTAATAATGATGACATCATGCTTGATAAAAAAAGTAAATTCACATGTGTTAAACTCATAATGTAAAAAGAAAAGCTTTAAAACTTCAATAAGAAAAGATAAAATAATGTCTTAATAGCCTTGAGGTAAGGATAGTTTTCTTGTTGAAAATGCACAAACCATGATGAAAACTGAATAAATAGGACTACAACAACAGTCTAGGTGGAAGCATAACAAGAGTTAAGAAAAGAAAACAACAAAATAAAACCTAGTATCAGAATGGAAGAAGATACTGCAAGAAATATTATTTAAATAATAATTACCAAATGTATGTGTTAGTGAGATTGCCAATTGCAGACATAGGTTAAATTGCAGATGTGGTTAGATTGGAGTTTGATTTCTATTTCCTGAGATTCTCTTGTGTTGTCTTCAGCTTAGTAGGTTGGTTTTTGTCATGGCTGCTAATGCTACTGGTTCTAGTTGTATCTCCATTCACAGATATGGTGAGAGGGAAGGCTGTATTTCAGATTTGTCAAAGAAAATCCCCAACTTACTCATGATGGCTCCACAACTGAATCAAGCTCTGGACCAGGGGAATTTCATGGGCTAACACAGTTACACATGGAATTGTTCTGATGGATGTAGAGCTGCCACGGTGTCTCCCTAGAGCACAGGGTGAGGTTAACTCCACCGGAGTCTCATGGTTGACAATGATCTGAGGATAGAATGGACGCTGGAGAGACAATCACAATGTCCACTACAGGCTGTCAATGTTTTGATCAAAATTTGTTAGCAGATTTTTTTTTAAATACAAAGCAATATTTTATTTATTTATAACATAATAGGAAAAGTAGAGCTTAATAGTGAGGAAGATGATAATACAAATATTACTATGCTACTTATAACTAACTTTCTTCTTTGCATTTATTCCTTCCAAAACACTCTGCATTGCAACTGGAATGATATTTCTGAATTTCATAAAGTATAGACCTGTCTTACTTCTCCAGTGGCAGTGCTAGTAGATAATTAATAACAGACTTTCCACAGATGGAGGGAGGGGGAGAAAGTGGTAATGTGATAGTTTCTTTGGACAATCTCTGAGGTGTAAATACTCCCACTGTAGCCAATTTCAAGCTCCCGACAATGTACTGACGTGTCTTTCATGTAAAATTTAAAATCAGTTCTCACAAGCCAATGTCCGTTCAACACCACTCCATAAATTTTCAATTGCTCCTTAAGACTCACAGAGTTGCTGCCCTATAATCTCCTGCGATATGTCCACTTCTCTCTCCAAAATTATATCCTCCCATATGAAAGCCAGACACACTAAACTCTCTAATTAGTTCCTGAACATTCCAAACCCCCTAGTTAGACACTTGCATGTCTCCCCGCTTCTTTCTTTTCTTCTTAATCATCTCACTCCCAGTCTACTCTGAGACCTCTCAGTACAGAAGAAAAGTCTTCTAAAAAAGTTACTAAACCAAGGATTTCATAGACATCCCATCTAATTAGGATAGAATCCCTTTCCATGTGTGTCCAAAGATTTCTATTCTTCCTATCATAATCCTATCACTCCATGTTGTAATTATAGGTTTTCTGTAACTTCTGTAGACAGGGGTCTGTGTCTCCCACAAGGAGCAGCTTGAGAGCAGAGGCGAGGCATCGTTCTCTGTCACATGCCAACTCCCAGCAGAGCCCATGGCACAGGGGAGGCCCTCCCTGAATGATGCTGAATGGATGAGCAAACAAATAAAATGTGTGTGTGTGTGTGTGTGTGTGTGTGTGTGTGTGTGTGTGTGTGTGTGTTTGGAGGAAGAGAGGCAAGAATTACTAGAGAGAAGTGTGGAAGAATCTGTGCTCAAAGAACTAAGAGTAACTTATGGGATGAACTTTAGACATTGTGGAGGACTCAGTTTAGTGTCAGGAGGGGGGAGTTATAAATCAGAAATATAAGAACTTCAGCAGTATACTTATAAATCAATCCGGATGTACCAGAAGGAGTTTAACATCAAATCACCACCATGAAAAGATGGCCACTGATGTCACAGGAGGGTGTAGAAGGGGCCACCGTGGAGGCAGAAGGGGCTGTCATTCTGCCTGCTCACGGGCACGTCCCACCTCAGCCTCACCTGCCCCAGCAGGACCAGCAAGACAGCATCAGTGAGCAGGTGGGGTGGGTGCCCCTCACATTCACTGTGCCTCTACTTACCCTTCATGACACCTGAGGAGGAGGCTGACATTACACCTATTTTGCAGATGAGCAAATACAGGTCAGAGAGGTTGGGTAACTTGCTCAAATGCACACAGGTAATAAGTGACAGTATCAGAATCTAAAACCATATCTGTGATAGTCCCAACGCCTTATTCAGTACTTCTCTCTACTTCTCATCATCCTTCAAAGAACAAATGTTGATCTTGCTCCAAAGTCCCCAGTCTACACATTAATATGCATCACTACATCATTAACTATGGCACATGTGAATCTGAGCAGTTGATTGAAATCACTCCTGTGAGGCTTGACCCCCCGACCTCAAATAGAGGGAAAATTCATCTTGACGGTGATGATTTTTTGTTTGACTGTATTTGCAACATTGTTGTCAGCTACAGCCAAGAAGCATTTTTCTTTAATAAAGAAAAATGATCCATTTGCTTTCTCAGTGGGTATTTGGAAGTGGTATTTTAGAGAGAATACACGAGATATGGATTGTTCTGCCTACCTTCTTTAAACCTATGGAACAAAGAAGTAAGTGGGTAGGAAGAAAGAGAAGCTATTTCTGGGGACAACTTTGAAGTGTGATTCTAGAAGTTACAAAACCAGTAATGCTTAAAGAAGCATGTTTGTCCTTCCATATCCAGGACATGATAATGGGACTAAGAGTTAGAACAGAAAGGATTCAGTCAAATGTCCAAGTTTCTGAAGGTTGGTGCCAGGATTGCATTTCCTGGGCCATGCTCTCCTGAGTTCATGGATGACGTTATTGCTCCCTGGAAGTTGGAGATTGATTTTCCTGGCTTTCACGTATTCCATCATCAGTAGGTGTTCCTGACTCCGCATGATTGGGAGGTGAAGAAGTCACCTGAAAAATAAAACAACCTCAATCTCCAAGATGAGGCTCAGTGCCTCCCTCACCTTCCAACCCTTCCTGTTTTCACCAGGATCATCACCAATAATATTCATTCACTGATTGTTACTGTGATGAGGTACTATGTACCTAGTTCTCACAGCAAACATCAGAAGAGAATGAATACTTTTCCATGTTACAGTTAAGTTACCTAAAATCTAAAAGAGTTCATGATTTTTCCTGGATACACAGCTAGAAAGTGAAAACTTGCAAGAAAGTAATTACCCTTGATTCTATTTATATTTAAAAAACTATACTCTTAGACATTAAGTTTCCTCTTGAATTTTCACATCAGAAGTCTTTTCCAGACTTCATCTCTCACACCTGTGACATCTCTAATTCCAGAAACCCCACAAATCATTTCCACATTAAAGTTTATTTCCAATTCTAAGAGTCAGAAACAATGCTAAACCCTAGAGGAGATTGGAGACCATGTGATTCCTTAGTTATCTAAGCGAACACACCTGTGATGATTCCGATAGTTTTCTTTTACACCACATGATTGTCATTGAGATGGCCACACAGGATTCCATCAAGGTAAAGATCAGCATTATAGACAACAGGCCCTAGGGAATATGATGCCTCAGATCAAACCCATGCAAACAATCCGAAGGAAAAATGTCATCAGAAAACCAAATGAGAGTAGTTGCCCTCCATAAAAGAGAAGAGCAAAGGTGAACCATAAATTGGGTAGAAGCACTGATAAACACCAGACTCTATGGAAGAAACACTGTCAACCTAAAAACATGCACACAATTTCCCTGGACAGAATGACACATTGTATTTCTCTATGAACTCATATGAAGTAATCATGGGGGAAGAAGCTATAGAGGCAAAATTCTGATCCTAATACTAGCATCTACTAATTTGAGTAACAGTAAACTAAGGAGATGAATTGGCATCTCAGGAAAATGGAAAAAATTGATCCCTCACCATTTCATTACTAGACCTTCGTAAGGTGTTTGGGCATTTAAACATCCCTGGAAATGAAACACTAAACTGAGATGTTAAACACAAATTCACTAGGCTGGTGATCCTTCCATTATCACTGAGGCCCCTTGAGGAACCAAGCACAGAATTGCTCTGGAGGGAAAACAGCAAAAAAAAAGAAAGGGAAAATTTGACCCATGTAAGTAGAAAGACAATTAGGGGAAGAACATAAGAACACCAACCCCAGAAACCCCATAAATCATTATTCCATAAGATCTTTCAATGCTAGAGAAGCAGACAGCTGAGTCAGCAAACAGAAGGGTTAGGAGTGAGTCAGCAAGTTCAGCTCATAAATCATCATGGGGAAAATGGATGAATGAAACAAGATACTAATTTCTAACTGGACCTCAGAAAAGGGAGAATCCCTATCCAAAAACAACAACAAAAATAATATGGGAAAGTTATTGAAGAACTTTCCTTTTAAAATAACACACTCAAATTCAAAATTGAAGTCATTCAAGACTTCAGTGAGTAATTATGTGACAATCCCAGACCACAGAGAAAACTGTAAATCTCCCTTGTTAGTTCTATTAAGCAATATGTGAAACAAAATTTTTTAATATTTTGGTCTGGGGAGTGTAATAGTGGTAGTAGTGTCAGTAATATTAATAATAATTTAACACAATGTTTACTGTCTTAATTGTTTATCAAGTATTAACTTATTTAATCCTTACACTGACCCTGTGAGATTGGTGCTACACTATCCCCGTTTCAAAGAAGATTAATTTAAAACCCAGAGAGCTTATCTAATCTACCCTTGAAGACAGTGCTAATAAGTAACAAAGCCAAGATTCAAATCCAGGCACCATGGCACTTGATATATTATTTGTCTGTACATTAAAGATTATTTGAAATATTTTATAATTAAACATAAGTTTTAAACATACATTGTTTGAAGTGGTTATGTAAAGGCATAAGTCCGCTGATTCTGAGAGTGAGCAATTCTTCTGTACCTCGTTATTATGTGCTAAATTTATTGCGAGCAAAACAAACCCAACTACTGCCATTATAGCACTGACGATGTCTATCCAAACATGCTTGCGGATCTAAAAAAGAATACAAATTTTCAATTAATACAGGCAGCACATAGTTCCTTCCTCTGGCTACAGTTTTTTAAAATTAATATCAGTTGAAGATTGTTTCCACATCCACAGTATACTAGATGCTGGGCAAACATCAATAAACAAAGATCCCCACCGTCATCATGGGGCTTACATTCTACCCGTAAAGACAAAGAAAACAAGCAAATAGGTAAACTATACAGTATTTTTTCAAGCGATTAAGTACTGTAGGATAATAGAGAAAAATGCGGAGGCTCTGGAATTAAATCTGGAGAGAGGGGTGGAGGATTGTGCTGTTAACGGGAATGGCAAAAGAGGAGAGGCAGTGAAGAGCTGGGGGACTAGCCAGGAGGGTGTCTGCAGGGAAGTCCGTGTCACATGAAACATTCAGTGCAGCTCGAAGCCCTGAGATGAGGCCACAGAGCTCGGGAAGCAGGAGGGGCCAGGGGGCTGGAGGGCGGGGACCAAACAGCCAGGATGAGGAAGTGAGCTGCAGGGGAGCAGGAGGCCTGGCGGGTCCTGGGAAGGACCGGGGTTCTTACTAGAGGGTTCTGAGCAAAGGGGTGGCACGATTAAATAGATACCTCAAAGGGAGCGCTCTGATGGTCCCAGGGAGACTAGTTTAGAGAGGGCCAGGGATAGAAGAGGGGAGTCCAATTCAGGAAGATGATGGTAGATTGGATGAGGGGTTATCAGCACAAAGATGAGAAAAAAAATCAGATTTAGCTTGACCATTGGTCCACAGGATCTGCTGACAAATTGGATTCAAGATTGTCATAGAAAGAAGAATCGGGGGTGACTCTAAGGCCTTGTGCTGGAATCTGGAAGGACGGAGCTCCCATCAGCAGACGTGAGGAGGACAGAGGGTGGAGAAGGCCTGACGAAGACTAGGAGCAGAGCTTTGGACCCTTTAGAACTCTAAGTGGAAACAGAGATGCCCGTCTCATTTCAGCAGAGAGATCTGGGCTGCAAGTATTTATTCAGGGCTGTGGGCATACAGATGTTACTTTAAGTCATGAAAATGGATGAAATCACCAAAAGATTAGGCAAAGCAGGTGAGAAAGAATTGACCTTGGAGCACCCAACCATTAAAAGTACTGAAAGAACAAAGAAGGAAATTGATAAGGAGAGACCAAAGGCAGGAGAAAAAGCCAATCCAGGTGTCCTGTAGGCCAAGTGAAGAAATTACTGGAAGGAGGAGGGAGTGACCCCCATGTGCTGACCGCTGCTCATGGGTCAGGGGAGATGAGGATGGAGAGCTGACCTCTGTGTCACCAGTGTGGGAGTCTTCAGGGGTCTTAAAGAGATTCAGAGGAGTGATAGGGAAGAAAAGGCCTTATTGGAGTAGGTTTAGTTGAAACTCAGTAGAAAGGAATCAGAGTAGATATCGTTTCTTCAAGGAGTTTAGCCAAAGAAGGGAAACAAATTGTGCCTGTACCTGCAGGAGAAAATAAGGTCAAGATAGGTTTTCGTTTGAGAGTATAAGTGGAGGCTTATAGGCTAATTAAAAGATGTACTAGAAAGAGAACTGGAGTGATGGAGTTGTGTGGGCATAAAGGAATGGAATCTAGTATTCATTAGGAAAGCTGGTTTTAATGTTAATCACAGAGAGGTGACCTCTGATAAGAGGTCAGAATGCAATATTAGATACGGGTACAGAACTGGGTCATGAAGTACATGTTATAGTGGGGATCTGAAAGTTCTATTCCAGTGGCTTGAGTCTCTCAGACTGGGAATCAAGGTCATCCACAGAGTAAAGATAACAGAAAGGGGATTTGTGTTCGACAGAATATAAAGGTGAAATAGCCGTCTAGGCGGGAGGAGAATGAATAGACTCATAGTATGAATGGGTAGATAATTCTCCCATAAGGGAGAATTTGTAATTGTTTAATGAATTACTAGAGAAATAGAATTTATGGCTTTCAGTTGTGGAACTAGTGGTGGGAGAGTGTACATTCAAAATAATTAGAGTGGGTCAAATTTAACAACACATAAAAATCAAGAAGACTTTGCAAGCTTCAGATTCAGAAAATACTCACAGTCACCATCTCAGTAATCATTTCATAGTGTATGTGGTTTTCTGATAATCTACCATCAGAATGTGGTAGAAAAAAGTTCATTTTCTTGTGACTAAATGAATCTCAGAGTCTCAGTTGGATTCACCAACCTCTATTATACCACTATTAATGGTCAACTTATTTTTAGTTTTATGATCATAGAAAAACTGGAAAAATTGCCTCCTTACCAAATCTATTTCATGGTGTTTCCCAGCTGCAATAGATGAGGATCCAGAAAAAATAAACTAAAGTAGAAAATGAAGCAGAGGAGGGAATATTAGGTCTCAACCATTTTTTCTTGGTTCTTCCTTGATTAGCAGACATCTAGCAATAATCGTACAAAACTGCTTTTTAAAATTCACACCCTAGAACACAAAATTACAAACATGATGTTTTCTCATGATTTTATGCAAATAACATTCATAATTAATTTCAATATTTAGTAAATTTATAACAGTTTTTTTATGTCTGGCTCTTCACAGGTTTGCATGAGTGTGGATACGTTAAAAACATAACAAACTCATATTTTTAAAGCACTATTATTATCTTTATGCTTTTATTTATGTTAAATGTACACAAAATTGATTTACATATATGAAAATGTAATATTCTCAGATTTTTACTCAAGCTTCTCATAGTTCATAACCTTTTGATTTTTTTGGACTAGGCGTTCTAAAAGAGAGTTTACAAATCTAAGCGTCTACATTGACATATCAACTACTTCTTAGTTTATTATTTTGATACATTACTCTTTCCATTACTCCAGTTGGATAAGCTGAGTTTTTTACATGTTCACAATGTTCTAAAAAATGTCATTGTTTTTTACCTCATAAACCTCACAAACATTTACAAAGCCACTACAATGGCTGAGAGGAAATTTTCCAAAATCATGGAGTACAAAAGCTTGCTACTTAAAATTCAGTTATTGAATCTATTGAATCTGGCAAAACATGAAGGGACATGCTTTGAATTCTATCTCCAACAACAAGGAGTTTATTGCAGGAAACTCTAGAGTCATGATACTTCATGGTTGAGAGCATTCGCTCTGTGTTCTGATCCTGTCTTCAGCTCATATTGATTCTGTAACCTCAGACAGATTATCAAACCCTCCGTGCCTCAGGTTTTTTTCTTCTGTAAAATAGAGATGTGCATATCCCCTTGTTAATATTATTTGCCTTGTAACCGTATGGGGATAAAATGAAATAATACAAGGATGGGGCTTACATATATGCCCAGCATACAGAAAGCACTTAAATTATTAACAATAGCTCAGGCTTTGATATACATCACCCCATTTAATTTCACAATGACCCAAAGAGAAGGTCCTGATATCATTTATACTATGCCAGTGAGGAAACTGAAGGATGACAGTTCAAAAATCTTTACCAAAGTCACACAGTCAGTAAGGATTAGTCAGAGAAAGACTGGGCAAACAGGAAACCTCCTGGTCAGCATACAGCAGGGCGTGCATTCAGAGGGAAGTGGGGAGATGGGGGTATCCTTGGAGGTAAGGCCAGATGTGAAGGCTCTGTGCTAGTCCTGGGCCTTAGACCTTGCTCAGTGGGTGATACAGAGCCAGAGAGAAGCTTCCAGCAAAGGGAATTCAATGGTTATATCGGAATTTTACTGTTCAGGAAACTAAACTCCAGCTCCCTGACCGTGGCTGCTTTTTTGACAAATTGACCTCACTTTCTGAGGAAAAAAAAACTCTTTTCAAATAGAATAACTGAGACACTGCTTTATTCTTTTCTATAATATGAAATTTCCCATTTAGATAGTCAGAATTCATTATGCAGAGCAAATATATATTGAAGATTTTCCAGAAACATGAAGATTCTAACTATTCCATCAAAATGATGATACTAACTCCCTAAAGATTTCAGAAATATTAAATCCAAATTACACATTCTTGGCGTTATCCTGGGACGGAATATAATCTTTCATCAGAATATGAAATCTGATTTGGGCTAATAGATTTTGGCCAAATTAGGAGCAAATTCTTTTTCATGGAGATCTGAAGGCCAGTGATTTGGAAAAATAAAAACTTGAAAATTAGAGCCCAAGACTTGTCATAGATTTCGGTCTTCATTTGCCACTTACATGTTTTATTCACTATTTTCAACTGAAATTCCTCGTCTTAGATTTCACAGCAGTAACTTTGTTTTCATATTCTGTTCAAGACTCAACATGACTAAAATCTCAAGAGTCTAATCCCAGAATAAACAAGAAAAAAGTGTCTGATTAATAAATAGTTCCTATTAACTACTTTTTAAAAAATGATTTGTCAGCTAGGTAATATCATATGACAAAGATGAACTCAAAATATTCTCAAAGCACCTAGACTAAAATCCCGTTTAACTTACTACACTTCTTCCCACCGAGGGGAAATCACTCTCCTGATTTTTAGACGGTAAAAACAGGCGAATCTCGTATCTCCCAGACCAGGACTCTCGGTTGCACCACAAGACAATTCACCAATGCTCATTTTTCATTCAATCTTCTTGGAATTCATAAATTTAATACATGAACATTAAGTAATGTTTGAGACTTAATCTGTGTGCAGCAAATATGATTTCTTTTAATCAGAAAGAAGGGCGTTTTTTCAAACTTGTTTGTGTCAAGAATTACAAATCAAACCCCTAGCAGGCAACTTTCAAATACCCTGAGAACAATACTTAAATAAGCAAACACTTTTCTAGCAGTGGTAGCTAAGGAATGGTCTCTATTCAGGGGAACTGGAATACTCACGAACAGAGGGCCCCATATCGGATAGCCTGTGTACAAGGTGAAGTAAGAGTACTGCTCAAAGAGTTGGAATATGCCTTGTATGGCACCTAGAAAAACACCTACAACCAGAATTGTTGCTCCACTCAGGATCTCCAGAGCCTTGAGAAGAGACAAAAATAAAGCACAGTAGTCATATACGAGTGGACATTGAGAAGAGATTATTTTCATTTTCATCTGAAAGGAGATATTTGTGCTTGAAACAGTTATATTTTCAAGCCTAAATTATGGGCCAGGAGCTCTCCCTGGAGGTTTTGTTTCACGCTATTCCCAGCAATTCCATGGGCACCCCTCATCTTCACCTCCTCCGACTTCTGTCCATTTTCTGTGCATTCTCACCAACTCCCTTGAGAAGTGGTAGAAGGGGAAGGGAGATGTGGCTGATAACAGACTGAGTCAAACTATCTCCCACATGCTTTGGGGCCACAGTATGATGGAGGCAGGCAGGCAGTGACCAGCATTCCCCTCAGCCTTCCCTCGACCGAATTTTTTAATTTAAACTGTGGACTAAGAGTTCCTAGAGCCCAGCCTCCTGAGGTGCACGGTCAGGTTGGAGCCGATTCCCCAGTGTCACATGGTAGGATGTTTTCTACGCTGAGATTATGCCTCTGCATTTCCACTCCCGCCGTCTAAAGATGCCCCAGTCTTTTCTTAAAGGAGCAACGTTATTGACTTGCTGCTAAGCAACTCAGAAATTCCCCTTTTAGGCATAAACAAATTTTTCTACATGGTATTTTCTCCCATCTTGAACCAAATATTTAACCAGGGCTGACTTACCCCAAGAGCTAGTAGTCTCTTCTGTAATTTATCAACTTCCCGAGAGGTCATTTGGGATTGCTGATGACTGTCATAGAAAGAGAAATCCAAAGCTTTGAAGTTGTCCTTAGCTAATAATATGTCTTGAGTTCAACAGAAGAGTTCAGTTCTGCCCTACATCAAAATTGCTCTCCACAGGTGGCTCTGGAGCAGAATGATGAGAATTTTTTCATTGTTTAATTCCATTTTGTCTTGGAGTAGCAGACATCATCCAATCATTGTGGTAGGCCTGGGCGCTTCACTTCACTTTGTAACAGTGAAGAGTAAACCTACTCAAAGAGTAAACCTATTGATCCTCCCAGATCTATGTAGTAATATTATCATTCCCATTTTAAAGATGAGAAAATTGAGACACAAAGAGGTTCAGCAACTTACCCAAACTTTTACAGCTCCTAAGAGAGTTCAGATTCATTTAGAGACATTCTGCTTTAAGGACCAACATTTTGTAACCATTATACTACAAAGTACTGTATGGGAATGTCTGTCTGGGTAGCAGTAGAGCGCAGTCCAAAGCGTTTAAGTGCTGTGGCAGAGCCAAGGTCAAATACAATTTTGGCCACTTCCTATATGTATGATCTAGTTTGTGGAAAATGAGAATCTCAGTTTTCACATCTGTAAAATAATTTTAATTTCATATGAACATTGCAGGGGCAAGTTTGATAAGGTATGAAGCCCCTAACCTGAAAAACAGTTGGTAAGTGTTGACTTTTAGCTTTACTCTGTCTCCTGTCAAAAGGGGCCTAAGTATTATATACAAGGGTCACCAAACAACCACCTCGATCATTACAATTAAAAACTATTTATCACTAAAAAATACACATATTCACTCTTAAACATTATAAATTCCTGGTACATAGGAACGTCCAAGACAAAATGATTACAAATGCTTTTATACTTTTATAACTGATTTCATGGACAATATTAAGTTAATCATAAACCCATTAAATACTGATGAATTCTTCCAAAACTATTGACTTTAAGTTTAAAATAGTATCTTAATTCTTACCTTTTATTAGAAATTATATCACAGATCCATTTTTGAAATAACTTCACTCTTTTTCTCAAAATAAATCCATGGATTTTGAGGATAAAATCAATCAATCTAGTTCTCTAACATAAGATGTTTGTACCACACTTAATCAGTAAAGCACTAAGCAGCTGAAGGTCAGAACGTATTCTAAACTTAACTTTATCACATTGGCAACTGTTTTTTACCTCTCATGAAAATTTCCTACCATTAACCTTAAAAATAAAACTGTCAGTTATTTTACCAGCAAAGACGGGTTCATTCAGAAACAGCCAAGAATTGCAAATCTGGAGAAGCAAGCTGTGGCAAAACCACCGGCAAGTCCAGAGATCAAAGGACAGGAATGCTCCTCTGTAGAGGAGTTGTCAGAATTGGAATGGGCTCTTACAAATGAAAAGTCTGTTGGGGAAAATGAGAGTTCCAAGCGTGGTGGATGCCCACTGGCTGAGCTGAGAGTCTCTCATTGGCTGCGCCAGTGCCCTGGAGGAGGAGACTGTTCCTCCTCCTGCTGGTAGGAAAGCAGTAGGTGAAGGAATATTGTCCTGCAAGGTCCCGCCCTTCCCTTTGGGGCTGCAACTGACAGTGGAAGGGCCTGAGAGCGCCCCCTGCTGGCCTCCCGTCGCCATGTCAGTGAGGTTTCCCTGTGTTCATTTTCACTACAACACAGGATTTCATGCCAGCGTTAAGGTATGTGCTCTATTTAAACATTCGTTAAGTGGAGAATGACTAGAGCCCTTACCGCCCCCCCCCATGCTCAATACTGTGCACAAAATGTAAGAATGAGAGAAGATCATAAAAGTTTACAAAAAACTCTATTGTCATACATCTCTAAAGAAATTCTGCTTGAGATGCATACTATTAAGAATGGACAAAGTAGAAGGGTTTCCTTTAAATTCCTCTTTATTCACGTTGAGCATTACCTTGTAAAGCCAAGCTTAAGATTCATCCATTGATAACTATGTCTATATTTTAGATAAAACATACAATTCATTAATATGTAGGAACATTGCTCCTTTGACTTCAATATATACTCGCCTGCCTCCCCAGCTTCATTCCTTGCCCCTCCCTGTCTTAGGGCTCAGTCTACCCTCATTTTATTTTTCTGAATCCTCCTAAGGGTCAGGCTCTCAAAAGTCTTGAGCCCTTCCCAGGACTATTCTCTCCTGACACTCATTTCCCCTCAAGCTCCACCCAGATGAGTTCTGCTTTTCTTCCAGATGGGATCTCCATGCACATGTCGCACTTACATGAAGGAGGCTTGTTCACTTCTGGCCAGTCTGAATGAAGCCCCCTTAGCTGCTCTCAGGTCTCCATCCACTTCCCCTCTCACACCACTTACCAGTCTGAGCCTCAACTGACTGGATGCTTATCTGTGCCTCACTGTCTCTCATCCTGTAACACCAGCTCCTGGCTCAGTGTCTGTCATATGGAGGCACTCAGTGAATACATGCTTAATAACTAAATGAACTTTCAGTCCAGCCTGATGTAGCTATGCCTTACGGATCACAATGGTAAATGTTTTTGCAGAGGTTGGACCTTCACATATTAGAAACACCAGAGCAGTTATAGCAGGAAGAAATCTATTCTAACTACATTATTTTGCTTTTTCAAAAAACCATAGCCATTAGGGAGAATTTTGACCTTTCTGGTAAAATACAATGTATTCTATAATTTGGTGAACTTCGCTTTTTTAAAAATGGTACACATGTAGATTTCCTAAGAACCCACCAGTTACGTTCACCTACCTAGGTTTAAGTGTGTGTCAGGCATTGTTCCAGTGTATTACTCATGTCAACCACTATAGCCTTCACAGCATCTGTATAGGTAGGTACTGCTGCTACGGTCCTTTCCATTTTGCAAATGAGGATGCAGAGCATCAGAGGAGTTAAGTACCCTGGCAAGGCCACACAGCCAGCAATTTGAGGAGTAGAGATCAGAACCTGGTAATCTTGCTCCAGAATATCCTTTCTGTCCCTCTGAGCTCATGCGGAGCTCGTTCCCCCAATCCCATGTCCCAGGGATATCCAGACCATCCTTCATTGCCAGAGCTGACAGCCAAATCTGGGGACAGTCACTTGGACTTAATATATGTAAGGAGTGTGTGTGTCCATGTCTACATTATCCAAAGAAATAACTATATAATTAAGTCTAGCGTTTTTACCATTGCATCAGAATAATAATCAAATTCTAAGGGGAAGCCATCGTCATAGCTAATGTTCCATATGCCTGCACAGCAACCAGGCAGAGCAATATACAGACTTCAGTGGCCCACGGAGTGGCACCTCTAACAGACAATAAAGAGGCCTTTCTGTGCAGAGGGAAAATACAGGGTTTACCTTGGAGGCTTCAGGCCTTGAAGACGTCTTTCCTCTCAAGCCCACTTGTTGCAAGTAGAAAAACCAGCAGACAATGAGTGTCCTCGGGGAATGGCAGGATCTTCTGACTGAGCCTCACAGTATCTTTGCCCCATGATCCACGTTAGATGAGTCAGCAAACATGCTTTCCTGGCGGCTGGAGAGTGATAACCACACATGCCTCTGAGGGCTCAGATCTCCCCGGGCTTCCAGAAGGCTGAGTGCTGATTAGGAAGCTGGCATTAGGAGGGAGAGGCGGCTGCCTCTGAGATACCACTTAACAGATTGTTGGGACAAGACATACAGGCAGAAAATATGGGCAGATGGGTGGAAAGGGTTGTGGGATGGAGGTGGACAGTATTTGCACAGTAAGAGACAGTCCGGCAGTGAGAGCCGCGTCTGGAGGAGGCAGGTGGCCACATGCAGTGTCCACTCGCTCTCACAGGCTCAGACAGATGGATAGTTTACCAACATCACAGATAGAGTTGATGTGCACTGAGTGAAGACTGTGTGCCAGTCATTGTTCTAAGCGCTTCACTCACATTCACTCATCGTCCCCACCAGACCCCGGGCCTAGGCACACCTACTCACCCAGTTTCACAGAGGACAGACCTGCGGCATAGAGGTGGGAGCCAGCTCTCCCAGCGTCACACGGGAACCAGCCAGGCTGTGTGCAACTCAGGATCCGGGAGTGATTCATAGTCGTGCCCATTACCCCTGAGACTATCACAGCGCCTCCTTCCCTGGACAAGTGTCCCACATTAGAAGGAAAATTGGATAATCATCTGAACCAATGAGTGTCCTGACACAGGGGATGGAGAGATCAGAG